AAAATGGTAACTTCACAGGATAGAGAAGAAACATTCTTAACTAAATGTAACCAAATTTTTTCCCAGATCATTTTGGACCATTTTGATTGGCCCATTCATCATGAAATTCAATGCAAAGGGTAAGAGGAGTTTTCATACACACACTTTTTCTAAGCCACTTATCCTTCTGGGTCACGGTGGTGCTGGAGCCTTTCCTGGTGCTCGTTGGGCAGAAGCCAGGAAAAACCCTTGATAGGCCACTAGTTCATCACTGGGCAGAAATCTCCAATTCTCCTGACTGCATATTTTTGGACTTTCGGAGGAAACCCATGGGGAGAACATGCAAACTCTACACAGAAAGGACCCGGTCGCCTGGCCGGGGAATCGAACCCAGCCCCATGTTGTTGCACCACAGTGCCATCACCAGAGATTTCAAATTGTGCAAAAAAAGTAAAAAATGCAAAAAATATGAGATGTATGGTGTTTTTGCATGACAGCAATATAAATGGACATGGTGGTTTTGGATAGTATATTATAAAATGGCTAGGGTAGAATTACCTTTTAACCAAGCCAACAGAAATGCCTCAAAATGTTTTCGCTGAGGGTAATCGGCAGTATTTGGATGAAAAATGTTGGTGCATTCCTTTAAAAGAGGGAAGGCCTTGCTTGAAATATTTATCACTTGGGAAATAAAGAGCTATTCTCTAAACCTGGAACCACATTTGGCAGCACATACTTGAAAAATCAAGACTTTCTGCTGTTCTCTTTAAACCAGATTAGCATTTGGACTCAGAAAAAATGAGAGGTTATTAAAGTAATGGCACATATTTATTGGTATTATGGTTGTATTGAACATATACAGTGACGGTACATCAGTGAACTACCCCTTTAAGCTTATATGCCCCAAATTCACCCTGTTAAGCAAAAGGACACGGCGATAATAACCCAATCAGGAGAGAAAAACAGGACCACTGACGTCCATCATGTTTGGGATCATAACGGAATAAATAACAGTCACTGTAAAGGCCAAAGCTGTGCGGCGGGACTCATTAAAAGGCCTATTAAACTCTCAGGGAAGAAGCGAAGCAGAGCAGAACCAGGCGCTGCAAGCTTTTTAATATTTCCTGCTCGTCTGTTGTTCCGCCAGGAGAGACGGCGGCTTCGTTTTGATGCCTGAAGTCAGGAATACTGAAACAGCTCACAAGCACAGTGTTGCCCATTTCTTTATTCCCTTTCTGAAATAAAAGGCATCAGATACGGAAGCAAAAAATGTCAGCGGGAGGAGATGAAACGGTCCCACTTTCTATTAAATGTCTCTAATAACTGTGTAGTTACACATGAATAACATGTGCTACAACACTGTAACCAATGATGATTTAATCAATGTTACAGATGGATTACAGAAGTACAGCCTATGTAATTACAGGTGTATCAACTTCAGTTTTGCTTAATGTAATTACACAAGTGTATCTTCTACACAGGAACTTTCCTGTAGTGTAGTGTTAAAGTTACACTTTAAAATAAGTGGACAGTTCCTGTGTAGTTATTATGTAGGTACTGTGTAATAATGGAGTGCTAATATAGACATTGCTTTGGGGGGGTTTTAGTTAATGGCATAAAAGTTACATTTTAAGATAAGTGGACATCTGCTGTACTGTCACATTACAGAATGGTTTAAAGTTGAAACATTTGTAACTGATTACAAATGTAATTACATTTGTGTTATTACCCTTGTGTAAATACATGAGAGACAATAGGCTGTTACAACTATATAAGATACCCTTGTGTAATTATATGAGGCAAAACTGAAGTTGATACACATGTAATTACATAAGGTGCACTTCTGCAATCCATCTGTAACAGTGACTAAACCATTAGTAGTTACATTGTTGTTGCATATGTTGTTCACATGTAACTACACAGTTATTAGAGACATTTAATACAAAGTGGGACCGATTAAACCAAAGATGCACAAAATAACGGTCAAGGAATGGATAGGAGGAAAACTGCTGGTACGGACTGGATTCATTAAGTGAAGAGAAACATTTAATGCCATTTAAATCGAAGAGACAGTCTTTTAATTACCTCGGGTCATTTTTAAGATGTTCGTGTAGAGAAATACTTTGTTTTATGTGAAAAAATAATAATCCCATAAAACAATTGACAAAAGCAGAATATCCATTCAGCGTCTCTCATATGAAGATTCTTTAAGCACATATAGAATAAACAAAGAACACAACTTGCCGACGGCTGCGCATAGTACCTTTCTGATGTACACATATAAGTAAAGAACAAAAACAGTACATGGTCAGGAATCAGCCACTTAAGAGCCGAAGACTCGTTACATGCATTTGCAATGTGGAATATAATGAGCCTGTTTACCCTCAGCCACTTCATGTGTTCATGTATGATTGAATAGCTGTCTGACTGCAAATGCAACCAAGACGCATTTGGGACGGATTGCTATCTGGAGGTGGTTTGGAGATGCAGCTGGGCTATTTCTTCAAGCAAGATAAGTAGAACACCATTTCCAAAAAAGTTGGGACGCTGTGCAGAATGTAAATAAAAATAGAATGCAATGATGTGCAAATCATGTAAACTATAGTTTTAAAGGAAAAGAGTACAAAGTCAACATATCAAATGTTGAAACTGAGAAATTTTGTTGTATAAAAATATATGCCCATTTTGAGTTTGATGCCAACAACATGTTCCAAAAAAGTCGGGACGGGGGCCTGTTTACTACTGTGTTTCATCACCTCGTCTTTAACAACACTAATTGTTTGGGAACTGAGGAGACACTGCTGTAGTTTTGAAAGTGAAACGTTTTCCTGTTCTTGTTTGATACAGGATTACAGCTGCTCAACAGTTCAGGGGCTAATTTGTCATATTTTTCATTTCATAATGCACCAAATGTTTTCAGTGGTGGCAGGTCTGGACTGCAGGCAGGTCAGTTTAGCACCCAGACTCTTTTAATATGCAGCCATGCTGTAATATGCAGAATGTGGTTTGACACTGTCTTGCTGAAATAATCAAGGCCTTCCCTGAAAAAGACGTTGTCTGGATGGCAGCATATGCTGCCAAAACATGTATGTATCATTTAGCATTAATGGTGTCTTCACAGATGTGCACGTCATCCATGCCATGCGCACTAATGCACCCCTATCCCATCTTGAATACTGGCTTTTGAACTGTGTACTGATAACAAGCTGAGTGATCTCTAGCCTGGAGGACATTTTAAATGAGCCTGGGCCCTGAGAAGGCGGTGGCGTTTCTGGATCCTGTTTATATATGGTTTCTTCTTTGCATTTTAGAGTTTTAACTTGCGTTTATGGATGCAGCAACAAACTGTGTTCACAGACTGTGATTTTCAGAAGTGTTTCTGAGCTCATGCAGTGATTTCCTCTACAGAATCATGTCTGTTTTTAATGCAGCGCCGTCTGAGGGCCCAAAGATCATGGCCAGGAAATCTACATTGTGGTCTTCTACATTGTAAACCTCACAGACCTTCATTACAACATATAAGGAGTATTCAGATCTTAGATATTTACAAGGATTATATCATGATCTATTTAAACTCAAGGCATTAACTGAGATAGTACTAAGCCAAATACGTACAAAATCATCATTTATGGGGTACTTTGTTTTGACAGCCCCAAATCCTAACACCTAAATTTACATTTGTGAAAGTAATACTTGAATCTTTTTGATGTCATTTAAAGTTGAAAGATTTTGATTGATCATGAGTTTGATTAAAAAAAAGAAATGGTGAAAAAAAAGTGATGTGACTACTGAAACACAAAGTTTTAACCTGTAGGCAGGGCCTTATTTTAGCCATGCCCCTAGATTTTAGAGCAGGAAGTGAGACTGCATCCCTGTCCCTTGTGGACACATGGTGAGCAGTTATTGTTAGCATTGTTTTGAAGCAAATATGTTTCCTAATGTTTTTTTTTTTTGAGTTCTGCTCAAAATGAACTAAAATTGTCATTACTGAAAAAGTCTCAGTAATGTTATGATTGTTTTGACAGTAACACAATGGAATGTTCAATCATTTAAGAAAATAAACATAATTAGGGTATACGGTCACTCAAAACAAAAGGATTTTAGTCTAAAGTCCAGTTAGTTAGATGTCTGAAATGAGTTTTCAACTCCAATCTGGTAGAATGATCCATAGACATATAAGCAAACCATTGACATTGATTGGTCTGGCAAAATGAATGCCCAACATAGCTAGCTAGATATGTTTATATTTTCACTGCAAATCAATGTATACATTTCATATATATATCGTATCCATTCACCCATCATGGATATATGTCTACAAACAGAAAAAATAGCATTTTCTTAATATTTATGTTGCATCATATAGTCAAATGGAATTTGTTAGGCTGTGATTATTGTTATATTTGCTTGCATTTAAAACGATCAAATCTTCTTGTGGGCTGCGAAAACTTTTGCGGTTGACAGTATCAAAATGTGGGGAACCCCTGAGCTAGGCTAACTATGATAGCTGAAGTTAGAAAAGATTGTCCACCTCGACAAGCCATCATCCACAAAATTCACTGACCAGAAAGTTATTACCTCATGTAGAAGATCATTACTGCTTCTCATCTAATGTTAAACTGTTAGCTTTAGCATTAGCTAATGCACCGACTGCCACAGCGACTAAAAGACTTCCCTTCACTTGTGAACAGCTGTAGCAGGTTAGCACATGCGGGTTTAAGCTTATCGTGTCAACTTTTTACAGGTACACTGGACAAATGCACCAATAAGACCAATAAGAGTCCTCGAGACTAATAAGACCAATAAGACCAGTAAGAATCCTTGAGACTCCTAATGCTCTGTAATGTGAAAATACAGTGTAATGTAAATACAGCGAATTTGTTTAGCTGTTAATTTTGAACATGGCTAGCTTTAGTAGACTTCCACCAAAATCCATCAGCGTGCCATCAAGTGGCCGAGTGTAAGTGGACCGAGTGTAAGTGTTACATGAATGTTACCCAGATATGAGACTCATGAAAGGATAAGTGTAAACAGGCTCATTGTGAATTTAATAATGACCGACTGGAACCGAAACAAGGATGAGGAGGACTCAGGATGGAACGTCCTTCAGGGTGTGGGCCAGTTTAGGGAGGGTCTCATAGGTTTAAAGGCAGGTGGGGTTTACTACATGTGCTAAAACGAGTGCGGCTCCAGACGCACACTCTGTAAAAGTCTTTAGTTTTTTTTTTTTGTTCACGCTGAGAACCAGCTCAAGGTAGAGCAGGAGGTCAGGGGAGAAGGAGGGTCAAGGGTCGATCTCCTCAGGGATGATGGTGAGGATGACGTCCTCGTTTCCCCTCCGAACCACCGCCCTGAGCGTTTCGTCCTTCTTGATGGCCGCGCTGACGTCGCTGGCTGAGTTGATTCGCTGGCCGTTGATGCTGATGATGACGTCGCTCTCCTGCAGGCCACCACTGCAAAAGAAAGAGGCTACGTTAGCTGACGTACACTTCACTGGACACTTCATTGGAGACGTCTACATCGTAGCATCTGTCTTTAGATGCACAGTTTGAGTTAGCCAGCCTCCAGACCTTCATCAGTGGTCACTTTCTGACCACAGAAACACTCTTGGCTTCAGGCGTCTGGTTCCTATCACCACTGTTCTGAACCAATTCTTGGTAGGTTTCTGTAGAATGGCGCATCTAACCATTCTGAATGGAAATATTAAAAAAAATTGGCGGAAGTCCACTTTAAAGGGCCCATTTTGTGTTTTAATAAGAGCTCGATGTATTATATAAGGATTAAATTTCAAAATGTTCCACAGTCCATATTTTCCACACACTGAAACTAAGCTGCATTTTAATAGTATTGTCTACAGGGAACACACTTAAAGGGGATATATATACCTTGTATGTCCAAAATGGTAACTTTACAGGAGAAGGAAAAAACCTACATTATTTTTAATGTAAGTCGATGGAACCAGACTTTTTTCCAAGCCATTTTGGGCCGTTTATTTTAGTCTAATCATCATGAAATTTACACACTATGTAATGGGCAGCAAGCATTTTCAAATTATGTCAAAAACTGAAAAACGACAAAAATGGAGACACAAGGTTTCCTTCCGGCAGCAGTGATATATATATATATATATGACATTTTAAACATTGATATAGAAGCAAACAACTATTTTCTATGTAAAGTCATAGTGGAGTAACTGCATGATGAGCAGAGAATGAAGCCACGCCCCCTCTGTGTGTGTGTAATCTGAGCTTCTCTGTTGTTTTCGTAGACGGTCCAGCCACGCATGCATGTTAGTCCCGCCCTCTGAAAACATCGGTCCTCCCCATGTTCTGTATTGTCCTCCCCAGACAGTGACCGCCCACACAGCATTGTGTTAGCACCATTTAAGATGGAATGGGAAAATTCAAACAAGAAGCTGAAGTGCCAAATGTTGTCTGGCTGCTGCACCTTTTAAGGTGGAACAGGAAATTTTGAACAAGAAGTTGAGGCACCAAATGTAGTCTTCATTGCAGCACCTTTTAAGGTGGAACGGGAAATTTCGAACAAGAAGCTGAGGCACCAAATGTAGTCTTAATTGCTGCACCTTTTAAGGTGGAACGGGAAATTTCGAACAAGAAGCTGAGGCGTCAGATTGTAGTCTTAATTGCTGCACCTTTTAAGGTGGAACGGGAAATTTCGAACAGGAATCTGAAGCGCCAGAATGTAGTCTTAACTGCTGCACCTTTTAGGGTGGAATGGTACATTTTGAACAAGAAGCTGAGTCACCAATGTAGTCTTAATTACTTCACTTTTTAAGGTGGAATGGGAAATTTTGAACAAGAAGCTGAGGTGTCAGATGGTAGTGTTAATTGCTGCACCTTTTAAGATGGAACGGAAAATTTCGAACAAGAAGCTGAGGCACCAAATGTAGTCTTAACTGCTACACTTTTAAGGTGGAATGGGAAATTTCAAAGAAAAAAATGAAAAAGAAGCTGACTTAAGCTTCATTGAGAGTTGAACTGAAAAGGGATGAGGAGGTCGTTCCTGCTGGACAGGTGGGTAACATTAACACATTTTTGCTGTTTCACAGAATCAGCAGGTCAGTATTGTTTTGTCCTGTTTGTGAAAGCAACTGGTTAACAATAGATTCACAGCAGAAACTGTAGCGACAGTTTGCTAACCCACATCCTGCATAACGTTAGTGTTGTTGTTCGCTGTTACGTTATATCATGGTATTTGTCTGTATGGCATTTGTGAAGGGTTTTATGGCCACAAAGATTTAAAAGTGTGTTGGCCTTGACTATGTGAGTCCATGAATTTGGGGGGCGGAGCTTCTGAAGGAGCACTGAAGGGAGGGGTGTGTTTGTTTTGCTGTTGAGTTGAAATATCAACAATCATTCTCCAGAATCAAATAGTGCACCTTTAAATATGACTTTCTTCACATTTTAAAGCACAGTTTCTATTTAATATGTTGAAAAAACTAACAATAACTTTTGGACAGGCCACATTTTAGGTTTTACTCTTTTTCCAATGTTAAATTTAGCAAATAAACAGTAAATGTGCACTAATATCATGTTCTGGAAGAGGACATGTTCTCTCATTGTCACTTAGAAATTCAACGAAATGTCATTTGACCAGGTGCGTGCAAACTTTGGCATACAACCATATATCAGTCTTAAATGAATTCTTCATTAATTCTAATGGATAAGGAGAGGTTGGAAAACAATTATGCAAAGAAAAATTATTATTATTAGTTTTGGTCAAATTGTTATAAGTGGACATAGGTGGTCCTTTCATGTATACAAATAGCAATAGCTATACATTATACAGGCTTTACAATCAGCCTTTGAAGGCACCATGTACTTCACTTTGTCCCATTCCAATGTGCCTTGTTCTAGACCACAGCAAATGTGCCACATGTTTACGATTTAGGATTTCAACCCATTTCCATCCATAGAAATGACACTCACTTTAACACCAACCAATATAACCACTGGCAGATGGCGTCTTTTGTTATGTGGTGCAATGAAACCGTCCCGCTGTATCATCTATTCTTTTGAACTACCACGCTAGCAAGTGGCCGCAGCAGAAAGTGGTCATATCCATAGCTCACGAGCCGCTTCCCATCAGCTCTACTGTGTCATCTCACCCTGTACAATGAGGAGCCAAGCCTACACACAGTGACAGGCCAAGCTTGACCATTTCTACAGAGGCAGTTCCCCTGGGAAAACCTGGCTACTATTATGCGTGCAAGAAGTGCGCACCGATAGGCCGCTCTTGGAAAGTTTGAAACAGTTCTTGACTGTTCCAGTTTGGTCATGGAGCAGAAAACAAGAAGCATAAACAAGAGCGCTAATAAGAAGTACACAATTCAAATTAGCTCCACAAACAGCAGCATGCAGGTGGAAAAACGTTATTCAGATACGTTTGTGAGCCAAATTTTGCATTGGTTTAAAATATAGTAGGTAGATAATCGTGGATTTTTTCTTCTCAAATAAGCTACTCACACTTCTGCTGGGGTTTTGGGAATGACCTCGATGACGTAAGCTCCTGAGGTGACATCCGGGAAATCAGACTGCCTTTCCTTCAGCTCCTTAGCAAGACTAAACAGAAGCAAACCAACCAAACATTTCAGGATCCAGTGGTATCATTCCAGAGTTTATGGGGTTTATTAATAAAGCAGAGGTGGGCAATATGTCAAAAATTTATATCGTGATGCTTTGTTATGTTTTTTAAGTCACAATATTTACTTTTTCTGACATCTGATAAGTTAGAACAGACAAAGTTGTGCCACATTTTGAAAAATACTATCAAAAACTACTTCTACTCAACATTTCTCACACTGTGCTGCACTAGATTCAATTAAATAGGTCTATTTATGCTCTGATTCTAATCAAACATGCAGGTGGTCAGTGGTTTTAGGTACTGATGATATCCACATTATGCCATAGCAAGCATATTGTGATGTTATTTATCACAGTAATATATAAATATTGTCATATTGCCCAGCTCTATTATGAAGGCCACTTACGTCGGAGTGAGGGTCATCATTCTAACGCCAATATACTTCTTTTTTGTAGGTAGTTTTCCTGCAGGAAAAAGGACAAAAAATGTACTGAGAAGAGTTTAACTGCTAACAGAATTGTAAGCAATGGAAGTTGGAGATTACTGGAGGTACTTGGAGGTAATTCGATAAGACACACTAAACTGGGTTGCCATTCACCATTGTATCAGGTACACCTACTATCAGGGCTGTAAGTAAACTATTTGAGCAGGTAGCACTGGTGCTAGAAATGCTGCAAGTGTTGTTGCACAATTTAAAAGGCTGTAGAGAAAAGTCTGATAATACAGTAGGTGGTACAAATGTTTAAACAGTTTGAACAAGTAAAAGCAGAGACAGAATGTAAACGTTCTGAATTGAGAACATCTCTATGACAATGCTAATTTCTACATGCGCCTCTATTCTAATCGTATGTTAGCGCTAAGCTAGCGACGATTCACATGAATGATTTTTGTGCAGCTTGTAAAAGGCATTGCATGTTTTATTTGGAGCTTCTAACAGACATAACACTCTAACACAGACATTCTGGCTTATATTTTACTTTCTATGTAGCAGATTTGTCTCAGAGAGTCCTGCAATAGAGCTGCCTTTTACATTCTTAACAACTGACTGACATGTGGTTAGACTATGGCCCGTATTTACAATCAGTGACGTATCTAGAACTGAAGGTCCAGAGTGACGTTTGTTCCCACAAAATCAGTTCCACTCATTGCAATGCAAAATGTGGTTGGTTGAATCCTCTGTCACTTCCTAATTATGTTCAGCTCCTGATGTCCTAGCCAATAGGAAGGTCGCTTGGCTGTGTCTACCTAGATACCACTGAGAAAAAAAACATCCTGATTGGACAATTTTCTGTCAGGTTCAAGAATTTGAACCTTTTAATTCCATTAAAAATGTAACAATGAAATAGTATTACTGTAATACTTGCAGCCTAATGATTGTATTAAATAAAAAAGCTAAAAATTACAGACATTTCTATTTGATGTAAATCACTAGGCCTTCATTAAACGTCCCTCCTGATGTCCTATAAAACATGTATACAGTAAAAGTTTGCTTTCGCTCGTTATAGCTTGTGGATTCTTGTTACAGTGCAGCTCTTTTAGACTTTGCTGCTGCTTTTGTTTGTTTGCTGCTCATTGATTTATCCTCCTGTTAAAACTGTCCAGCGTAGTCTGCCACAGCGACTGATCACATTGCTTGAAAAAGCATTTAAAAGGAGGGCATTAGGGCTATATTCATGGATTCTCTCATAGCAACACAGTGCGTTACAGCTGGGCTTCAGCCTGTATGATAAGACAATGCATTAGGGTCCTTAATGTTAACCATTCCAGGGCAAATCTCAGTAAGAACAGTATTGGACACCTTTCTGAGTGTCACTACAACCACTGTATGTGGTAGAAAGAGCAAAAGCAGATCAACCACTCTTACCTTTCGCCTGGCGGTCATGTGACTCTGTGAGGAACTGGCGGATCTTGTCAGAGGGAATGGCGAAAGAGATTCCGGCTGTGACCTTCAGAGTATTAATCCCTATCACCTCTCCATCCTGCACAAACACAAAGAACACACAATTGTGCTTTGAACACATTTTAACACCCACACTGACTCAATATGTCCATCCGCCAGCATGAGGTTTTAAATGAGGCTGGTGGACATAAACAATTGCTCATCGTCTGGGTAAACAACTGGTAGCCACGTACACTGTCAAGCCCTATTACACCTGCATTTTAGGAGCTACAGTTTATGTTCTGGAGGTTAAGAGTTTCCTGAAGCCAGGCCATGCCAACCATGTTAGGCTAGCTACTAATTTTAATAGCCTTCATTTACATCGTTTCCAGTCAAAACAGCCATTAAGTACAAGTTATTAATTTTTCAGCATCATGTATTTAGCACATCCACTCTTTACCTTTATCACAGCTTCCATTCATTTCAGGAGACTCACTTTCAGTTTCTCAAAGAAATCTGCAGCCACACCTCCAAAGGTCAGTCTTAGAAGTTGGTTGAGCATTTTCTGCCTCTCAGATCCAAGTAATCAAACACATTCAGTGATGTTGAGTTCAGTTCCCCACCAGCTTCTTTGTTTGATTTGCAAAAGTCCAATAGCTTCCTGGCAGCTACACATCCTTTCAGACACATTGAGTTGTCTTCTCACAGTGGAAGGATGGACAGAAACAGTGGCGCATAATTTTCTCCTCTCTCTCAAAAATTAATGTAAATTCCTGTTTACCTGATGGCTGGATTGGTGGTCTACCAGGTGGTTGTTAGGAGTCCCATTGTCTCTGTTTCTGTCAATTTTAGTTTTGGAAACTCTCATTTTTCCACTTGTTTTTCTTTGCCTTTCTCATTCTTCAGGGGCAGTCATGGGCAGGAGATTAGGGAACCAGCCTTGTGACCAGAAGGTCACCGGTTTGATCCCCTGAGCCGACAGTAGGTGACTGAAGTGCCCTTGAGCAAAGCACCTAACCCCCAACTGCTCCCTGGGCGCCATGGATAGGCTCCGGGCAAGTGTGCTCACTGCCCCCTAGTGTGTGTGTTCACTAGTGTGTATGTGGTGTTTCTCTGCATGGATGGGTTAGAATGCGGAGGTGAAACTTCCCCGTTGTGGGATTAATAAGGGTCACTTAACATCTTAATGCAATTAGATTATCTCATATTCATTCCCCTCATAAAAAAACTTCTCTGTGACTGGAAATTAAATAAATGAAGGGTGTTCTCACTTTTGCACAGGAATATGCATTAGCTTACCAACTAGAGGTGTGAAGGAAAACAGAATCCTTACCAAGTTCACCAGGGGTCCTCCTGAATTCCCATACTGTGAAAAGAAACATGCATAATCTATAAGAAATCAGATACTTTTTAATAGAAAAAATCAGGTACTTCAGTGGAATTTAGAGCAATAGCATGTAAGCCTCGGTCTACAAGTAAAAGCCCCACCTGCAGAAAACATGGCTATCAAACCAACCCTGGGGAGTTTCAAATACGTTCTTCCAGCAAATCGAATAACCACAGAGATATGATGAGGTGGGATTTACTGCTTTCTTCCTTTGGCTCTCCTCAATTCCACAGTGAAACAGTGCTAAATCCAGATAACAATGCCAATTTCACGATGCCTGTGATGTATTGAGACTACTGGCCAGACGGTCATGGAAAAGCAAATAAGGCCCTGCATAGCCTGATGTACCTTTGCTAAGATGCTTTTTACCAACTCCACATTCTTATAACTTTCATTATAGTAAACAATCATGTTGACAGCAAAACACTGTCTTACATTGATGATGGCGTCGGTCTGGATGTAGTCCATGTCTGAGTTCCGCAGGCCCAGCTCCTTGCCTCCTCGTTGGGCCGTACTGACGATGCCTGTAGTCACTGTGTTCTGGAGGGAGAAGGGGCTGCCGATGGCCACCACAAACTCACCCGGTCTCAGGTCAGCTGACCTTCCCAGCAGTAGCACTGGAAGCTTCATCTGTAATAGACAAAACAAAGCAGAGGTGCTTTTTCACCTTCATGGAAGCAGGCTTGTAACAGTGAGCTAGTCCTAGGGTGCAGAGCATGGTGTTGCCACCACTGGGATCGGGGACCCCTGCTGTTGAGGCACTATCTTGTCACTCATGCCTCATACACTCGTTCCAGCACCATACACATTATGATGTCAGCTGTGAAGATAATGCACCATCATCCAAAGAATATCTGGAAAACAGCGGCCCTGTGGTCAGAAACTGACCAATGATGTATGGTGAACCTACACCGATCAGGCACAACATTATGAAATCTCCTTGTTTCTATGCTCATTGCCAATTTTATCAGCTCCACTTACTATACAGGTGCACTTTGTAGTTCTACAGTTACAGACCAACAACGCAGGTGCATCTAGTAGAGTGGACAGTGAGTGGACACAGAGTTTTTAAAAGCTCCAGCAGCACTGCTGTGTCTGATCCACTCGTACCAGCACAACACACAGAGAATGAGAATGATCCACCACCCAAATAGTACCTGCTCTGTGAGGGTCCATGGGGGTCCTGGCATCAATATTGTAAGTGGAGCTGATAAAATGGACAATGAGCGTAGAAACAAGGAGGTGATCACAATATTATGCCTGATCAGTGTATATTGTGCACCTGTGAGGTAAGCGGAGCTCAAAAAGTGACCAATAAGTAGAAGGTTTCTAACACTATTTACTGGTGCACATGCACACATACCGATGTGGTATTAGTGCAACCCTAAAAGCTAATATCAGAATATGTTTGGTAGATTCATCCTGTGTGAAGGACTCCAGACTTTTGCGCAGGAACAGTCTGCCCTGTGATGGTCAGCAGTAAGCACATCACCAGATGGAGGACAGAGGAGAGAAGGATGGTGTTCTGTTCGTGTGGAAAACGTCAAACAAACATTAGGACAATTTGGCAAGAAGGTAAGCATGGACAGCATCCACCAGCCAATCACCAGGCTGCCACAGTGTCACCTGACTTTGGATGCCTTTAGCATAAAGTCACCCTATGATTACGTGCCTAAGGGCCGAAGAAGGAATGTGCCACAGGACGTCAAATCTGTTAAACATGTTGCGCGGCTGGGAAAAAGCTTATCTTAACCCTACGCTGGGAGAAGACTTTCTTTTTAAGGCTAATGATGAAGACATCTGTGTCCTCCTCTCTTCATCGAATGTACACAAGACCCTTCTTACAGAACCGTTATTCCTCATGTTGGATTATGATCTTCCTGGAAGTTAACCTCAAGAACGGATGTTGCTCTCAGGTGCGCTGTACAGCCTCCTAAAAAACAGGATTGCTCTTGCTACAGAAGCCCTAAAAGGCCATTTTTGGTAACACTTTGCCTTAATAACCCAGTAGTTAGCAATTAATTAGCTATTTATTACTAATTGTAATTCAGTAACTAGGATTTTTTTGCACAACATATTAAATGTGTACTCTTATGCCTTTATTAAGCATTATGAAGCCAAAAGCAGGTAAATAACCTATAAAGACAATAACTATAAATTAACTGGCTGCTTATTACTACATTACTAAATAGTAATTAAGCTAAATTAAGTATCCGGAGCACTTATAATGATTTTATTAACCAAAACCAAAATAATAATAGATATACTAGTTATAAATGAATAAATAATCAGTCTATAGTCTAGTCTATAATCAGTCTAGAATCATGTCTGTTTTTACTGCAGTGCCACCTGAGGGCCCAAAGATCATGGGCAGCAAATACTGGTTTTCGGCGTTGTCCCTTGCATACTGAGATTTCTCTGGATTCTCTGAATCCTTTAATGATATTATGTATCGTAGATGATGAAAAGCAAAAGTTCTTTGCTATTTTACATTGAGAAACGTTATTCTTGAATTGTTGCACTATTTTTCACAGAGTGGTGAACCCAGCCTTTCTGAGATGCTCATTTTATACCCATTCATGTTACTGACCTGTTGCCAATTAACCACCAGGTGTTTTTAGCATTACACAAATTTATCATCCTTTGGTTGCCCCATCCCAACATTTCTGGAACGTGTTGCTGGCATCAAATTCAAAATGGGCAAATATTTTTCAAAAACAATAAAATTTCTCAGTTTCAACATCTGATAAGTTGTCTGTGAAATGTGTTTTCAGTGAAATCCAGGGTTTAAATGATTTGCACATTATTGCATTTTGTTTTCATTTACATTCTTTACAGCGTCCCAACTTTTTTGGGAATGGGGTGAGTCTTTCGGCATCTTATCAAGGCAAGAAGATTCCACAGTTTCACTTCTTCATGGCTGCTGTTATTGTTACACAGGCTGAGCTGAGCATCTGGGGCCTGTTGATATGGGATGAGCCTCAGCGATAAGACTGAAAAGGGCCCTTATTTCTGAATCAGTTTTGATGGTGAGGGTGGGAGAGGCCATGCTGAGCATTCCAAGCTTTGGGCTTTGTTTTGGAAATCTGCCATCGCTTCCCGCTGTAGATAACAAGCCAAGCCCCCCCCCCGACTCCCTGGCATCTTCTGCACTCAGCAACCTGCAATCATGGTCTTATGTCCGCAAAGCTCCGCATCAAATCTGGCTTTTGCTAAATTTAGCCTCGCAAATTACACAACTTTTCCTACGCGATACAACGTAGGCTATAAATATGTGACAACCATCATTTTGTCAGGATCTTGTAACTGAGGCTGCACCTGCTGGGTTAACATTGTAATGACAGTCTTACTGTGTTTTTAGTATTACGTGCCACCATTCATTTCCATTTTCGCTGTGTTTTGTGGGGGCGCTTATTTGGATCTAATTTAAGCGTGCGCTGATTCTGAGCTGGTGTTGAATGTTCTTCTGTTTGCAACTGTACGCCAGCCTGAACTCAACATCGAGCCAGCACTGCATCAGGTTATACTTAAAGCCCTTAGGCCCTCAATCTTAAAACTTATCATTCACTAACTACTTTAAAAAGATGTATTCGCTACTGTGAAACTAACATGTAGAGTACTATGCAAAAGTCCCAGACCACTCTTTTTTAATTCATTCTTCAGTGTCAGAAAAAGGAAAAAACATATATGAACAGAAAATTTCACAAAAGCTTTAAAAACAAAATATGATATCAGATTTTTCAGTATTAAGTGTGTCCACGCTTTACCTCTATTAAAGGTATTTATTAAAGGGTCCATTCTTTTTTATGAGTCTTGCTTTCAGTTTCTCAAAGAAATCTGCAGCCACACCACCAAAGGTCAGTCTTAGAAGTTGGTTTAGCATTTTCTGCTTCTCACCATGCAAGTAGCCCCACAAATGTAGACTCATTGGTTCATAAACATCTAGGTTGTCGAGGGGTGTGCAACCTTTTACAGGCGTACGACTGTATATGATTCTCGTCACTGAAGAATTAATAACTTAATGGCTGTTTTGAAAAGAAATTAGGGGTGTAAAACTTCTCCAAATCCACAGGTTAATTCAGACCTCGATTTTTTAAACCATGGTTCAGTTCATACCTTGTTTTTTCATTTTGTTTTGCTTTTTTTTGGGGGGCTGAATGAAAAAAATGTGAAAAAATTCTAGGTTTATTAAATTATCAACAATTTGGAACACCGATACATGCTTGCATATTTGAAGTGTTACCTGCCATCTGACAATGTTTTGTGGAACAATTACGACATGATTGCCATCCCTGTACTCCACTGGATGACCAGAATGTTCCCACACTCCTCACTTGAATGTGCCTGAGGATTCTGCAATCTTGGGTTATTTTCCATCTTGAGCTAGTTAATCTTTTACCTCAGACATGATCAATCGATCATGATTGGACCAAAATAGTCACATGACACACACACATAAAATAAGTGTACATACAATTTGTGATTTACATGTGTTATAGTGTTGGTTGTGAAATTAAAAATGCCTTTTGTCACTTTTATTAGTAACGGAATGAGAGTTCAACAGGTTGCACAAGCAGCGGTGGCAGCGGGTTGGTGTTAGTGGAAACACAAGACAAGAGGACAGCTTCAGTCTTGGTTTCAGAATCCTTACACCCCTACTTGAAATCAAAGAAAGTTTGGTCTCCGACTTCTGTACAGCACTGTAAATAAAGTAGTTATACAAGTGAAGAATTGAAGTAGAAATGTAGGCAGGTACAGTTTAAAAGGTTACAATATATGATGACTCTGATGTTGACAGCATTATTATTAGGACATATTTAGAGGAAGGGTCAATGCTCTGGATCATATTCATAAAAGTTTGCAATCTCAGCACCCATAAACCTTTCTTTGAGGTCTTTCTGCTTCTAGAGACTTTTGGTCCACTTATAATCTTCACTTTCCTTTGCCATTGGTTCAGTAGGATTCCTTTATCAAATGCCAAGACCTTCCATCTTCCTCTACACACCCGCGATTTCCTGCCTACCCAGCAGCTCTGGAGCTGTAAACACTAAATTGTGCCTGCCTGTGAAAAATGATCAGGCCATCGAGGCTGAACATAAGCTGGAGAAGCACAGCAGGGGGGAAAGTGACACAAAGCACCCTGCCCCAACAAACCCAACTATTCTAACGTTGGCAGTTGGTGCTCAAAGACACAGTCAAGCTAAATGAACCAGCATGAATGGTGCAGAACATTCGAGAAACTTTCAACAATCACCAACAGGCATCGCGCCAACACCAACCCTGAGCCTGGGTTTGTTGGTGTTTGTCGGGGAACGTTGGCTCGCTGTGCCCCGCAGTTAACATGGCAGGAGCCCAGCTGTCCTGGTCATAGAGGAAGTATGTGTCACTGGCTAGCACCTGCTGGCTCAGTCCATACAGGCTGACGAACGCTTGCACTGCGACATGCTCTAGCATGTTTGTGTACCCTTTTCGGCCCTGCCTGGGCGCCATTCAACAAGACAGCCAGACGAGGGCAAAATTTAGAAGCAAAACAGCCCAGATAGCTTGCAAGGTACGAACATCAACATTGGAGCCTTGGTTCTTCATAACTTCGCTTCCCATTACCTCATTCAGAAAGTTATTAGCTTCAG